ACGACTGCTCAAGGCACCTTTGCTCATAGGAAAAGTCAAAGGTATTTATGATAGAATAATCCCTTATTCTTATCATAAATACATTTCTAATCAGAGAAGATTTCTTTCACATAAGTTATCCTAATTCCATTTATTTAGGATATTTACCTAATTATTCTAAGATATTTATTTAAATAAAGATCTTAGAATATTCCACCCCAAATTACCACCTAGGGCCGGCCACCCCTAAACCCTAAAGGGTCGGCCCATACTCCTCCTCTCCTATAAATACACCCTTTATCTTCAAAATTCAATAAGCTTTAGCTACCCCTAAAGAGGCTTTTTGTTTCCCACAAACACTCAAACACTTCTTCTAATAATTCTAACTTTGGCATGGAGATTCTTCGGCCAAAGCACCCCCCCAACCCCCAATTCATTATGGGCGTGTGAGGCTTTTGGCCTTAACCTTAGGTGTTATTATTTTGCAAGTGCAAATTCGTCAATCAAGGAAAGGCATAAATTTGCATCCACATATACAATTGGGGAACATGACTTCAAGCGAGTTATTTGAATTTCTTGTGACTTTTTCTTGACGAACAAACTTCATGTCAAATTTAGATTATGTTAAAGGGGCACGTTCCCCTTTTTTGTTCCATATATAGAGGGCTAAACTATTGAAAGGATTGTGGGAACCATAGACACTACATACATACATACATACATACATACATGTATACATGCATAGATATATATATACACACACACATATATACATATATATATACACACATACACACACACACACACACACACATATATATATATTTACCAGTGCTTTAACAAGAGGGATCATCATTTTTCTAAAAAAATGGGGACACCCTCTTGACCGTTGGATTTGACTTTACTGAAATTGTGTGGTTGAGATCGTGTGACTTTCGATTTAATCTCAACCACACAATTTCATTAAAGCCAATCCAACGGTTAAGAGGGTGTCTCCATATTTAAAAAAAAATTGGGATCCCTCTTGTTAAAGGGCTTGTTTTTATATATATATATATATATATGTGTGTGTGTGTGTGTGTGTGTATGTGTGTGTTGTATAATTGTATTATATGAATTGAATATTTTAAAGGTAAAAGGTTAAGTGCCCCTTTGGGGCTGCTTTTTCAAAAAGTTCTGAATTAATATGGGTGTTTGGTCAAGTTGTGGTTGGCAAAAGGTGACTTAAACAATGCTGCTTTCATTTGTGCATTTGTGCTTTTGCGCAAATCAAAATGGAAGAAGGTGTCTTGAGGCCTTTTATGAATTATTTCAATACCCACAGTGACCTTCATCCATTAATAAATGTACACAATATATCTAGATGATTTTGTGCGTTAGTTTTTTACAGTACAACAATACCAAACTAATCCTTAAAGAAATTATCAGGGTAATAAATGTCACATGCTTTTCCATATAAGGTAGTGCCATTGACATACTTATTTTTACTTTTTAGACACTTTCTTAAATTTTTGATCACCATATTAAATGAATTGGAGAAGAACAAATGCCAACAATTAACAAGGGTTGTGTAGAAGGTAAAAAGAGATGTCCAGATAACATCACCCTTTCATATAATCTTAAACTTTATAATTAGTAAACCGAGCTAACTATAAACAAATACTATAATAATAAAAGCCTCATATATTTTATGTTTGAGCATGAAATCCTAAACGTGGGTCGAGTTGGTTGATAGCCTAAACATAATGCCACAAGACTCGGCCCAACGGTGAAGTGTTGATGGTTTGGGCGAGTCCCAGATAAAGTAGGATTGTCTAAGGTTCAAGATGGGTTTCTAATAATATTTGAATTAATTAACCGAGGTTAGAATTCGTTTTTGGTTAAGGCATGAATTTATTACATAATACGACTAGATTCAGAATCCATATTTGAGTCAAAGAAGATGAGATCAGTGGTGATGGAGTTTCTGTGGGAGAAGGATTTTCAAAGATAATTTGGGTGTATTCAAATAGAATGCCGAGTTGAAGTACTATTAGAACTCTACAATTTGGCAACCTTGGGCATCAAGTAATTTGTTCCTACAAATATAAGAGTATTGGTAACATTGAGAGGACCTTCAAGTAAACACACAAATAAATGCTTTACGCAAAACCTTTCACACCTTTTTGTGAGGACTAACTGATTTAGTAACCCTCACCACAAAATCTGACTAGATAGACGGGTTTGGATTTGTAACCGATGGACGACGACCGACTAGATAGACAAGGATTTCAAGAAGCAACCAACAAAGGCAACCGACTGGATAGACGGGGCCGAGTTGTAGAGTTAGTTTGCTTTAGGAGTTTCGACTGACTAGATATACGGGGCTTCTCTCTAAGTTGGTGGTTGACTAGTTATCTCAAGTCTTAGCTGCCGAAGAGTCTTTAATTCTTTCGCGGAAAATGGTCAAATCATCAGCCTTCTTAGCAACGTGAGATGTTTGATGATTGTTTTCTCTTAGGTCTCATTTAGAGTTTGGCACACAGATAGCGGAACCATTTTTACGGTTGTGGCACTCATCTCTTTTGATTATATTTGTCCATACAGTTTGATACTGATTTAGCAGGCCTGTTTTCACTAATATAGTTGACGTTGCCAAATTTGGTGCAAAAGATACAAAACTTCACAATGAATTCAAGGCTGAAAGTATTATTTCCTTGGCCAAAGTTGCTTGATTCAAAAGTTAGTAAATCATTCCACCACATTTGTTATTCGTCTGGCCAAGTTTGGCGGCAAATTGGCATGCCCTCATCAACATTCTGCGAGTTATATATTAGTTAAAGTGTAAATAGTAGTTTGTTGTCCCACGTTAACGAATTGCATACGTAATACCAATATATACTCCACTTTGGAGATTAATGAATATACAAGAAATTCCCAACTATTGTCATATATATTTTTGATATTTACCATATTTAATTTGACTTGGCATCAGAGTAGTTTGCTCTTGGTGACCTGTGTGCTTTAACTTGGTGCCCACTTTTGTTGTGATTTATTCATTCAAAAAAAAAAAAAAAAAAAGGTGAACAGTGCTGTATTGTGTGAACAATGATCTACTACAATGCTGTGAACAATGATTTTGCTACAATATTTTGGTAAATTGTCTTAATTCCACTAGGTATCTTTTGTGCCTTTATTTTTCATGGTTTAGCTAAATGGCTCAATATAATCATAGTGTTGTTATGCATCTTGGTGGAACAAATATATAGTTAATTGATACTAGGGCCCACTGATCATGTGACTAGTGACCCCAGAGTGTTTATGAGTTACATGACTATGTTTGTGATCCATATATTACTAGTGCAAATGGAGCACTTTCCCTTGTGAAGGGTGAAGGCACTATCTCTCTTACTCCGACCTTATCACTGGTCCACCATTTACTTGTTCCTGATGTTAAGTGCAATCTTTTGTTAGTAGGAAAACTACTTGATACCTTATATTGTTCCACTCACTTCTATCCCACATATTATTATTTTCAAGACATTCAAACTCAGAAGATACTTGGTCGTGGTAAAAGAATTGGAGATTTGTACGTCTTGATTATGAAGGATACTACTGTTTCAGGTTCATATAATCATCAATTTCTAAGTGCTAAAGTGGATGACAAACATCAAATTTGGTTGTGGCATCGACATTTGGGGCATCCATCATGCAGTTATATGAAGCATTTGTTTCCTTCTTTGTTTCGCATTTGTAGTGATTTAGAGTTCAAGTGTGAAACATGTGTCATGGCTAAGAGTCATCGTGCTTCCTTTCCCATAAATTATTCTAAAGCTACTTTGCCATATGATTTGATACATTCTGGTTTGTTACTTTTATTGATGACTGTACTCCATTAACTTGGGTGTTCTTGATGAAGAACAAGAGTGATGTCCTTGTTGAGCAAAAATTGTACACAATATGTAAACAAATAATTCACTCGACACAATTTCACCCTCGTTCATTTTTTGAAGAGGGTTTTATTAAATTGAGTTTGACCTATTCTAGGCTACGCGCCTATTAATTACAACCATTATTTTGTGAAAGGAATACCCTTTGATTCTAATATGAATAAATTGTAACTTTGGGATTTTGGTGTTTATTTGATATTGTAACTGCATCTAGGTAGAGCCTAGATTGCCTACGTACCCTCGTTGAGGGATCAAGTCACTCGTAGTTCCTTATGTATTTGTTGGGGTTTGATACGTTGTGCAATTTTAGCTCATGTGGGCGAGGGCTTTAAGCCATTGGAGCGTTTGATGCCTTATGCAGTTTTAGCTCATGCGGGTGAGGACTTTAGGCCATTGGAGCGTTTGATGCCTTATGCAGTTTTAGCTCATGCGCGCGAGGACTTTAAGCCATTGAAGCATTTGATGCCTTGTACAGTTTTAGCTTATGCAGACAAGGACTTTAAGTCATTGGAACATTTGATGCCCCGTGCAGTTTTAGCTTGTGCAGGCGAGGACTTTAAACCATTGGAGCATTTAATGCCTTGTGCAGTTTTTAGCTCATGCGGGCGAAGACTTTAAGCCATTTGAGCAATACACAGCTTCGTGCCATTTGAGTCTTGTTGTGGCTTCGTGCCATTTGATATTTGACTTTTCTTCGGCTTTGTGCCTTTTGGGATTTGATGTGGCTTTGTGCCATTTGAAATATGATAGGCTTCATGCCATTGAATCGGCTTGGTGCCATTTAAGGTGGCTTTGCGCCACTTGAGATTTTGTCACGGCTTTGTGCCATTTGATATTTGACTTTTTCTCGGCTTCGTGCCATCTGATAGTCTTTACGGCTTCATGTCATTTTGTAGTGGCTTTGTGCTATTTATAGTAGCTTTGTGCCATTTGAGTCTTGTAAATTTAAAGGGAATATTTGTAATGAACCCATTAATATTTTGGTATTTGACTTTGTCTTAGTGCCGTGCATCTTAGACTTCATGAATAAATTTAACTTTGGTGGATACCATATAAGGCCCACATGAGTAATAGGGAAGAGCTGCTCTTTTTTCTCTGGGTTCCACGTGGATGGCATTCCCATTTAGTTTGAGGGAATTGTATATAGCAAGCTTCTTATTTCTTTCCCTTGTACACTTGAATTTTCCAAGTCCAGATAGAATGTCACATGGCGTCAAAGTCCTAGCACAAAAAGGTTTTGATGGAATTCTTTAAGAAGCGGCTTCCCCCTTTTTTATAATTTTCTTTTGAATTTTCAAACCCATTTGACATGGGACTTTGAACCATTTTGACCTAAGACCCATGTTTTCTTCCAATCTGATAGCAAGCTTTGCTATCTTTTTTTTATTTTTTTTATTTTTTATTTTTTATGTGGCTTTAAGGCTTTTAAGTCCAACAACTTCTCTTCTTTTCCACGTGAGCAAGCTCCCACGTGAGGTGCAGCTTTATTCATCCTTCTTCCCCTTGCAAGATGACTTCACAAATCCTCTTTTTCCTTGGTTCTAACTTCTAACACACGATGCTCTTCCACCAGAAGCAAAAGGCGGTTCCACAATACTTGGGCTCCCGTGGATTGTGTTATATTTCAAACTTCTATTTCAATTGGGTATCTGTGGATTTCAGAGTGAGAATGGGTAAGGTTTGTTGGAGCTCAGATTCTTTGTTCAAATTACTTCAATTTACCACCATTTCCCCCCTCAAATCGCAAATCCCATTTTTGCAGGTCATGAAAACTTTCATCTTTTCTGCTGCATCATTCTTTTGCTCGTGTGCTTCCTTTGTGGATCGAAGGCTCAAAACGAAGCGGGGGAGAAATCAAGCAGGTTACCCATTTTCGTTTTCTTTACGTTCCGGGTTTGCTTACGTATTTGGATTGGAATGAAACTCTAACTGCGATGAACTCATCAATTCTTTCATGCAAGAGTTTCTGGCAACAATATCTCTTCGATTTGTTGAACAAACTATTTTGCAGTACTTTGAAGAAAAGTGTTGATTCATGGCTCCAAAGGTGAGAATTGCCCCCCCCCCTGAATTTTGAAGTGACGCACTCCTCATGTCTGCCATACTTGAATGAGTCTTTGGGTGTTTAATGTAAAGGTTACCATGTGAGTAAGCTTCTCAACTACTTTGGGAATTTTGACAACAAGTTTTTCCTTCTCTGTGAATTAGGGACACCTTGAACTCTTTTAAATCCAACTTCACGTGGCAGAGAAGCAAATATCTTTTGGCTATTTAGAGATTGGCAAATTTTCTTTCTTTCCTTTTGTCTTGTAGCCCCTGTCAGTTTTGTTTCAATACCTTTGGTCAAAATTTTGACACAATGTTTGATCAAAATGATAGCCATACTTAAACATGAGTCAGTTCCTTTTGTCTTGCACCCTTCGAAAGACGTCTTCTTCTTTTTGTGGAAATCAAAGCTATATTGAGGACTTTTCTTTATCAAAATTTTGGCTTCTTTTCCTTTGTTCATTTGTCAACGTATGCACTTTTCCTTTGTTCCTGTGTCTCTTTTATCCAACATGATGGCCACGTGAATGGCTTTCATGTTATCTAAAAAAAAGAACTTTTCTTCTTCCTCATTTTCTTGCGTGACCTTTCAGGTATAGAACACCAGTAACATGCCATCCTCTTAGATCATGTTGTTCTATTTTTGCCAACAAGCTTCTGCACCATTGGTGAAGAATAGGTTACTGTCAATATGTGGGGTTGAACAAAACCTGCTCTTTCTTTGTTGAATCCATTGCTTGTCGCGACATTGATGGTTCCCTTCTTTCTCGGCGTGGACGGCGAATACGGATCTCTTTAGATTTGATTGGAATTTCACGGGGTGGTTTAGGCCACCCCAAAGAAATTCATGGGATTCTGGGGATTATTTCTGTTGCTGTCAGTGGGGAGTTAGAGCTCCTATGTGTTGGAACTTCACGGGGTGGTTTAGACCACCCTGAAGAAATTCATGGGATTTTGGCAGTTTATTTCTGCTGCCGTCGATGGGGAGTCCAGATCCTCTTCATTTCACTTTTAAACGTTGCAATTTTCTTGTATAAACTGGAGGTTACAGACTCTAGGTAGTTGATTACACCATCTTTTTTCACTTTTGTCTGCAACACAACTTTTAAACAAGAGAAATAAATAAATTGATAGAACTTTGTTTCATACCTGGTGATGAATGTTCTTCTTTGGATCTTGATTCAAAAGCACGAATGGTTGAACTCCTTGTTCTATTTTCTGGCAGCACTTCATGGCTTTTGGTATTTTCTCTCAAAGTTTCTCTATTTTTCTGCAGAGTATCCCTTTTTTTTTTTTTTTTTTTTTTTTGTTGTCTCCCTCTTGCTGCAACTGAGGCCTATTTATAGGAATCTTAGGAAGGCTCTAGAGTTTTTTACGTGGGGGAGATGGAGACCATGTTTTTCTGCCACTTTCCCTTAAACCTCTCCCGCTGACTCTGCAGTTTTTTCCACGCCTTGCAGAAAAATAAGAAGCTCCTATGTTGCACGTTTCTTCCCCCTTTTGTAGGAAGAAATTCTTATTTTATTTTCTATTTATTTATTTATGGATGTTGATTTGTATGTAAGGCCTATCCTCATCTTTTGGGCTGGATTACATTTTGTTTTGCCTTGTAGTTTGGCCCAATTTGTATGGACTCAATTTTTTATTTGTTATATATTTTTGTTGTTCAACAGTCCCTTTGCTTTTTCAAGAATTTTGTGCAATGGTGTCTACTTAGTTTCGAACCAAAGTTAAGGTCTTCAGGTTTGATAACGGAGGAGAATATGTGAATCACACTTTGGCATGCTTTTATCGTGATCAGGGTATTATTCACTAGATGACTACTCCATTTACACCCTAACAAAATGGTGTGTCCGAATGGAAGAATCATCAAATAATGGAGGTTGCTCGCTCTTTGATGTTGGATAAATGTGTTCTTAATCATTTGTGGGGTCATGCTGTCTTGGCTGCTGTGTATTTGATAAATCGTGTTCTAAATAAGGTTCTTGATTTTCAGACACTGCTTGATGTGCTACAAAAACATGTTTCTCCTTTTTTTGTATCCAAACTTCCTTCAAAGGTGTTTGGGTGTATGGCGTATGTGCGTGTCTACTCTCATCAATAGAGTAAACTTGATGCATGTGTTATTCGATGTGTATTTATTGGGTACGCTAACAATCAGAAAAGCTATAAGTGTTATCATCCTCTAACGCATAAAACTTATATTACCATGGATGCCACATTCTAGGAGGAAGTTCCATATTTTGTGAAGCCTTCTTCCAACTCTCCACTTTAGGGGGAGAATGAGAGTGAAGTGCAGATTCGAAGAGATGGTATGAGTGATGTGCTGCAGGCATATTTGGGGACAAAACCTGTTATGCTACGTAAGACTGACCAGTTGAATATAGATAGTGATCAGTTAACTGTCATTCTCGAGACTATTTCTACCTACGATCAGTCAGATGTTTCCAACGAGTTGCCTGTTGTTGCTATGTTTGACGAATTGCCTTTTGATGACCAGTTACCTGCTACTGGTATGTCTAACGAGTTGCTTGATGATGGTTCATCGAGTGATGATTTTTCTAACGGTTTGGTACAAGATAGTGACACATATGAGGTAAATTTTGATGATTCTTCTACTTATCAGTTGCCTCTAAGAGTTAATCGTGGAAAACCTAAAGTACAATATGAGCCTAATATGCATTCCAAAGCCAAGTATCCTGTCAACAATTATGTGTCCACTCATCGTTTGTCCAAACCATATGCATCTTACATATGTCAACTATTTAGTGTGTGAGTTCTAACAAAATTATAGTATGCTTTATCTGACCCTAAGTGGGTTAATGCCATGAATGTTGAGATGGAAGCTTTGGAAAAGAATTCCACTTCGGATTTGGTTCCTTTGCCAAATGGGAAGAAAGTTGTTGGATGTAGATGGGTGTTCACTATTAAGTATAAAGCAGATGGTTTTATTGACCTGTACAAAACCAGATTAGTTGCTAAGGGCTATACTCAAACCTATGGGATGGACTATCAGGAGACTTTTGCTCATGTTGCCAAACTTAATAATGTGTGTGTTCTTCTGTCCTTAGCAGCAAACCAGGATTGGCCCCTATTGTAGTTTGATGTTAAGAATGCTTTCCTTCATGGTGATCTCAATAAGGAAGTTTTTATAGATCTCCCACTTGGTATCGAAGTATCTCTTGAAAAAAAGGTGTTATGTGTAGATTGCGAAATGCTTTGTATGATTTGAAACAATCTCTAGAGCATGGTTTGGGAGGTTTACAAGTTCAATGAAGAAGTTTGGGTATTTCCAGAGTCAATCAGATCATACTTTGTTCCTAAAGCGACAAAATGGTAAGCTAACTGCATTGATTATTCAAGTTGATGACATGATAGTGACTGGTGATGATTAGAAGAAGATACAACGCTTTCAAAAGTACCTAGCTACTGATTTTGAGATGAAAGAATTGGGTGAATTGAAGCATTTTCTTGGAATCGAGGTTGCATGATCCAAGCATGGTATTTATTTATTTTTTTGTCTCAACGGAAGTATGTTCTTGATTTGTTAGCTGAAACAAGTATGTTAGATTGCAAACTTGTTGATACTCCGATTGAGCAAAATCATCATCTGGGCTTATTTCCGGATCAAGTTCCTACTCATAAGGAACTGTATCAAAGGCTTGTAGGGAGATTAATTTATTTGTCTCACACTCACCTTGACATTGCTTATGTAGTTAGTGTGGTAAGTTAGTTTATGCACTCGCCTAGTGAAGCTCATATGGATGCAGTAATCCGTATTTTGAGGTACTTAAAGATGGCTCCTAGCAGAAGTTTGGTTTTCTCCAAGAATGGTCATTTGAATGTCGAAGGGTATACATATGTAGATTGGGCAAGTTCTATCACTGATCGATGATCTACATCTGGATACTTTACGTTTGTGGGTGGTAATCTAGTTACTTAGAGAAGTAAGAAACAAAAAGTGGTGGCTAGGTCAAGTGCTGAAGCTAAGTTTTGTGGTATGTCTCATGGTATATGTGAGTTGTTGTGGTTGATAAAATTGTTGAAAGATCTTGGATTTAAACCCAAGGATGCTATGAAATTCCTTTGTGATAACAAGGTTGCTATTGAGATTGCTCATAATCCAGTGCAACATAATCGAACAAAACATGTGGAGATTGATCGACATTTCATCAAGGAAAAATTGCATGCTGGAATTATTATGTTTTTGTTTGTGGGATCTGAAGATCAACTCGCTAATATGCTTACTAAGGTTGTGTCTAATAGTGTCAACTCGCTTGACAAGTTGGGCATGCGTGACACCTTTGCTCCAACTTGTGGGGGAGTGTTTCGAGTTATATATTAGTTAAAGTGTAAATAATAGTTTGTTGTCCCACATTGACGAAGTGGATACGTAATACCAATTGTAACTCCTATATATACTCCACTTTGAAGATTAATGAATATACAAGAAATTGCCAAATATTGTCATATATTTTTGATATTTACCATATTTAATTTGACTCATTCAAGCCACCGAAAAACGTAATTAGTTCCTAATTACTCTAGCACGTGTGCCACGTAGGTTTTATAGTGTTTAGGTTCAACAATTTGACTTACCCTTTGAAGAGATAAGTTTTCCGAACAATGCAAGCAGAACGCCACATTAGCCACTAATTTTTAAAAGATGCTAGCGGCCTCATTAAATTAATCGGATGCCATTTGTATAGAATTATATTTGTTCCAGCAATCATGAAGTTATAAAGTTTTTTTTTGAAGTTTTGAGCCCAAGGGGTGCGACCTAAGCACTACAATGAAAGCATCTTACAGATGGGGAAATAAAAAGAAGAATCTAGAAGATAAGATTGACTAATACAGATGCCAAACTTTGAAAACGAGTCTCTTTACAAGTCTTTTGGTTTGAGTCTCATCTCTCCGCAGAATATGCATTGGTATCACATCATTGTCCATGCCTAGCTAGCTTCCTTTTTCCTATCGCCTTTTTTCTTAATTTCATGGAAAGAAGACAAAACTTTGTCCATCTTTAACAGAAGTTCCATACTGTTTTACATAAAAGAGTACATTTCTTAAGAGCTAAGAAGCCAATAAAAAGACAAAAATATGTTAATGTGATTCACAGTCACTTAGGATATGTCGACGAAACACAAAGTCATATCTCTCTCAATTATTTTTTTCCAACCGTCTTCTACATGATCACACATCCATGATATTGTGGTGTAATTCTCAAATGGGATAGCTCAAAATTTGACGAGTCTTTCTATCATACACCAATGTATATAGCACATTTAACTGTGATTATTATTTTCGTAATTTGCACGAACCAACATACACTATTGCTTAAAAAAAAATAAAAAAAGAAGAGATGTTGAATATTAGTTCCACATCAGGAATGTATAAAATAAAATACAAAATATAAGTGTATGGTTCCACTCTTAATAACACCGATGTCTTTTGTGATAAAATCAAACACCTAGTAATAGGTGGTTAAGTTGGGACAATATTGTTGATGGTGGTGGTGACCTGCATGAGCCTAAAAAGTTTATCATGGGATGAGAGAGGGTTTAATTGTGGGTCTTATGGGTCCATGATGTGCCCGACTTACCGGTTTAACGTAACACCATGCTTCAACGCTTAATGTCTGACATGCGACTGGTTATGTGGTGGTACCACGTGAGAAGGCGTGTTGAATATAAGTCCACATTGAGGAATTGAGAAAATAAAACATAATATATAAGTGTTTAGTTCCACTCCTAATAACACCGAGGACATTTGTGATAAAACTCAATACCTAACAATAGGTGGTTAAGTTGAGACAATATCGGAGTGGCTAGGAATGTGCTAAAGAGAGGGAAGAAATTAATTCAAGACTTGGAAGACAAGGAATCAGCTACAAAGAAGGAAACAAGAGCTAAACTACTTTATTTTGACTTAGTCAATCCTAATCTTTTCCTACTTAATTTCCAGCTGTTAAGGGGGCTTCCTAATTAATTTAGGACACTTAAATATAAGTTCTAGAAGCCCTAATCCTGTCAAAGAGGGATGCCGCACCCTTTTCCTCCCTTTCTCTTCCTTGCCATGCAAGGCTTTCCATTTCCCTTTCCCAATTCCCTGCCGCATATCCTTTCCCTTTATCCCTAGGATTCTGACATTTATTTCTCCTTTTCCTTGTGGATTTGGGATCAAACTTGTTTACCAAATTAAGTTAGGCCTTGTTTTTCTTAAACCTATAAATAAAGGCCCTTGCCGCAACCTTTGAGGAGACATTCACTATAATTCACACTTTCAGTCATTCTTTCATAAAAATCATCACTCAAACCTTCACCTACACCTTGTGCTGCAGCAAAGAAGAAGAAGGAGGACCTTGGGACATGCTTGCCATTCAAGATTGGATTGTTGGAGCATTCTTAGGTGTAATCCATCTTTTGTTTTCAATGTTTAATTTAAGTTTTCTTTGTTTTGCTGTGAACATGAGGAACTAATTTCGTTTTGGCTAGAGGAGAATTTGAAACCATGATTATATTTGCAATATGAATTGATTAATTCCAGTTGTGATTTCATAAATCGTGAATGCAATTTACTTAACTGTTGGATTAAGAACTTATTCTTGTATGTTGATTAGG